GTTGTTTCTGCTCCCAGTTCGGCACGGCTGGAGGAGTTAAATCGCAGAGCTCATTGCTCCAGGTTGGAATTGCGACTCCTGGTTGCTTATGGTGGGGTAAATTCTGCCCTAGGGGGTGTAGGACCCCCCCAGAATCCCAGCTCTGCGCTTCAGCAGGGGCTTGACCTCTGGATTTGCTTCTCCTGGGGGATGCTGCTTCCCCCCAGCATAGCAGAGGCAGAATTTATGGGTTGCTCTGCCCTGAATCCCCCAGAGCTGCTTCCCACCTTCCTGACTTTGTCAGCAGGTTTTGCTGTGATCCTGCAAACTTTTCCAGTTCCCCTAGCTTGGGAGGGGGTTTGTGAGGAGCAGGTGCTGCTGCCTTTGCTTTGAAAGGAAGGAGAGGAGAGTCAGGAGCCTAAAAATAACCTTAAACAGCATCCTTAGCTTAAATATTTAAGCTGTCTTTGCTTTTAAAGTGCAGAAAAGAGGGGGTTTTTGCCTTTCTGGTGAGTTTGTTTATGATCTCTGTGGTGGATTTATTATCTGCAGGCTCCAGCCCTGAGGAGGGAAAGGGTTTGTAATGAGCTGGAGCAGTTCCACAGCTCTCTCTGTGTCAGGGGGATCTGAGGGGCATGGGGAGGGGGTTGGATCGAGTGAGAACCAGCCTGAGCTGGGAGGAGGGAGGAAAACTGTCACAATGGGATGAAACACTTCCTCCAGTGGGATGGGGAGAGCTGTGGATGAGTTCCCCAGCCACCAGGCTTCCTGCACCCACTTATTGGTGCAATGAGTTCAGTGTTCTCCGTTGCCTCAGGCTGAGTCTGTCCCAGGGGAAGGGTGGGGAGACACTTTCCGGAGGTCCCAGCATCCAGCTGGAGGGTCCAGGATGTGTGTGGGCTCCTTGTCACTTGTGTTTGGGGAACTTGGAGACAGCATGGGATGTGGAAGAGCTCTGGGCAAGGACTGGCTAAGGCATCTTTGGTGCTTGGGGGGTTCCAAAGTCACCAGTGGAGGGAAGGGATGGGGCTGGCTGCCCCCTTGCCCTTCCTAGCTGAGCACCAGTGCCTGCAAAGCAGCTTTTCTCAACTCACTTTGGGACTGGACACTGAGTTTGGTGAAGTTTGGGACTGGAGTTGGCTGACTTGATTTGTGCTGATGTGAGATCAGGTTTTACTCGTCCAAGCATCTTCAGAAGTGGCCAAATCCACCTTTGGGAAGCTCATCCTCTCTTTGACATCCTCCAAAGCCATCCCTGTGCCATCTGGCTGTACAGGGCCCAGCCCAACAGCCACCAGCACAGTTTCTGAATGGCAATTGAATTAGAAGAGATCTCACTTGAACAATCCCACTCTACTTCCCCCCCCGGCCCAAGGGCTCCCTGAACAATTGTGAAATGAGATCTTTATCATTTTTATTAAAAGCTGTACACAAGGCATCACCATTAGGCTGCATGAGAGGAGGGAAGGGGGGCAATTCCCTTATGGTTCCTCTCTTCCCCTCCCAGTTTAATTCAGAGTGGTGGGATGCAAAAGCTCCCCAGAGAGTGATGGATAGTGGGAAATGAGGAATATGAAGGAGCTTTATTGAGCCCATCAATCTCGTGCGAGGCTGCTGCGATCAAAGGCCCAGACTCTTTCGGCAGAGGTTATGCAGGGGAGCAAAGAGATCAGGTTTCGGGGAAAGCCTGGGCGTGGGGGGAGCTGCTCAGCCACTCAGCTCCTGGCTCGGCCCGGCCTGAGGAGCCAGTGCCTGCCGAGCTGGGTGGAGAGCTCTGGCCTTGCCCTGGCTGGGGATGCTGATCCTGCTGCGCTTTTGGCGCACCTGCCTCCTCCTCCTCTTCTGGGACACCGGGATTTGAAGCCTGTGGAGGAATCAAAGGTTGGTTTGCATTGGAAAGGACCTTCAAGACCATCCACTTCCACCCCCTGCCATGGACAGGGATACCTTCCACTAGTCCAGGTTGCTCCAAGCCCCATCCAACCTGTTCTTGAACATATTCAGGGATGGAACAGCCACAGCTTCTCTGGGCAACCTGTGCCAGTGCCTCACCATCCTCATAGTAAGTAGGAGGTAAACCCTTCCCTGTGCCATGTGAGGATGAAGACCCTCATGGAATGCTTCTTCCCAGCCAAAATGCCATCCCCAATGAGGTCTCTCCTCCAGCAACAGGCAATAAGAGACCTGTTGGTGTCCAGGCTGCTCCTCATGAAAGGAGGGAACCCACCAAGCCCAGGCAAGATCCCAGACCCCATCCTTGATCCACCCAATGTCCTAGACTCAAGCCATCAACTCTCCAGCTATCCCTTGGTTTTGTCAAGGGATGGGGTGTCCCCATGTCACACCATGGCTTGGCTGATGGTGTCCAGCAGATTAGTTGGAGGCTCTGAAGCACCTCCTGGTTTCTCCAAACCGTTCACCAAGGTGCCCAAGAATGTTGCCACCCTGCTTGGTGGACCCTAAGAGGAGACCTTCCCTGGGAGTGGGACAGCATTCATCTCATGAGAATGAGCAGGCTGGGCTGGAGGACTTGAAGATCACCTGTTGCTGGTCCCAAACCAGCCAGAGAGAAGAGCCCTGAGATCCAGGTGTGCATGATACTCCGAGGAGGATGTTTCGGGAAGGGAAGTTACACCAGCCAGGGAGATTGTCAGCTTAGGCTTGTCATATTGCTGCCCAGTGTGGATTCAGGCTGTGACTTGCCTGATGGGACTCCCTGACAGCTGTGTACCTCATACCTCTCACAGAGCCTTTCTCTCCTTCCCTTCCTGCTTTTCTGTGGCCTCCATGGCTACAAGTGCATGCAAATCTAGGCTCTGGCAAGGTGGAATCTGAGATGTCACTAGGGTAATGCTGCCTGGCTGGGCTGGTGGAGTGTGACATCTTGCTTCTGCTCACTGGCCTTTCTGGGTGATGCCAGAGGAGGTGAGTGGGGCACAGGTAATATCACAGTGGACTTTTGGAGCTGTTCATCTGAATGCTGCTTGGTGAGGAAAACAGCATTCCCAGAAGGATGCTGCTTCATTCCAGGTCTGCCATAGCTTGCTTTACCTGCCTAAACCCCAGTCTCAACTTCCAAGCCCTGCCAGCCTTTGGTGACCCCACAGGAGGAGAATGGGGCCTTCAGACCTGTGTGTGCACTGCCAGGAACTTTATAGGCTCCTTCTACCTTTTTACTGTGTGCTACATTCCTGGGAGGTAAGCTCAGAGCTGCTCCCCTGCGCAGGCGAAACCAAGGGATGACTGGAGAGTCGATGGCTCCAGGCTGGGACACTGGGTGGATCCAGGATGGGGTCTGGGATCTTGTCTGGGGTTGGTATGATACCTCCTTCCATGGGGAGCAGCATGGTGGTAGTACCTTGGTGTGGACCAAATCCTGTGCTAGAGAAGACCTGAGTTCTGGTGAGTTTTGGTGCTCTGGGAAAGGAGGTGAAGATCCCAAATCTTCTCTCCTGCCCTAGAGGGAGTCCCTGGGAAACCTGGCTGGGGATGTGATGTCCAGTGGAGCATCAGGCAGCATGGCCATGATGACATGTGTCACTTGTCTGTCCAGACATGAGGCTGCCTGCAGGGCTACAGACATGGGGAATCTCTTTGAAGCTGATGTGTAGATCCATCACAGTCCCTGGTGACCACCAGCTGTACAAACAACAGCCTGGAGCAAGCTGTGGCTCACTCATCCATCCCTCACAGCCACCAAGCAGCCCTGAGGGTTGGTGACAGCACTGAGCTGTGGGATGGGTTGTCCCCAGGACCTGGGCTGACTCCTGGGGCTTGAAGGCTGCACCCAGCATCGCTTGGAGGTATTTGGGGACAGATTTGGGCTCTGCAAGTCTGCCAGTAAAGGGAGACGAGGCAGGTTGCAGCTTGTGCGATGTAGCTCTGGGACAGCAGCAGAGGGTGTGGGGCTGGCTGGGCCAAAATCATCAACAAATCATTGGGAGAAGGAGAAATGAGACCTTGTTGTGCCTGGCACCACGACAAACCCTCCTGCCTTTCTGTTGCTGCAAAGGGAGGTGCTGGGGGAGGCTGGATGTCCTCTGGGTGGCACAGGGGACATGGGTCATGGGCTCCTCAGCTGCAGTGGCATCTCATCCTGCCTTCACGGGTCCCAAACGTGACCCTTGTGCTGCTTTTTGAGCCGTTGACGTAAAAACTTGTTAACCAACCCAAACAAAGGCTCCAAGTGTCTGAGCATCCCGCGGCGGCAGGGAGCGGCCGCCGGCGATTAGGTGTGCCCTGAGCCTCGGCTTGTGCAGCAGCAGGGGGATGTTCACCCCTTCTCCCTCCTCTGAGCCCAGATAAAGCTGGATCCTTGGAGGCACAGCTGGATTTGGAAAGCTCCCGGTCCTCCCCCAAGCTGCGGGAGTGACCTGAGGAGATAAAGCCTCTTGGCTCAACACTTCTACCCTACATTTCCAAGAGCCCAGGAGGAGCCACCTTGGGAAAAGCCAGTTGCTTGCTGCCTCTGCTGCCTCTCCCCATCTCTCTGCAGCTCGTGGAGGGAGGAAGGACACAGCCATGGCAGCCAATGGCTCTGGGGGGCTGCAGGATGCTCTGCTGGACAACAGCATCTTCAGTGACGACGACCTCGTGTCCGACTGGTACATCTATGAGACCATGGAACCAGCTGTGCCCCAGGATGAGTAAGTCCAGCCCCACTTGGGGGTGCTACATGTCCCCCTGTCCTGGTCACCCAGCCGCCTGCCCAGCTGCTCTAGCCCTTCTGTGAATCAACATGCCCTGGGCAGCAGAGGCAGGATTTATTCCTGGGGGAGTGGGAAGTGATTCCAAAGACTTGTTTGGGCCCCTAAAAATGCTTCATTTCTTTTAGGTACCCCTAATCCTTCAGTGGGAATCTCTGCTAAGTGCCCTCCCTTTTGCTTAGCCTGCCCTAAAATGCAAAGTCAAGTGCCTGGTGTTGACCTCCTGCCCCAACCCCTGGGAAGCCCACGGAGCCTTTTTGGGTTGCTCTGGCTCCATGATTCCAGGTTTAGAATCATCCTCTTGACACAGCCTTAATCCCATCCCAGTTCTCCACCAGCAGTAGATTTTGGCTGGGAGTGAAGAGAGTTGGCAGCATATCCCAAACTACTTGGATGCTCTGACAGGTTCCTGCATGGCACAGTGACCCCGAGTAGCTTTTCTACCTGCAAAATAGGGCTGAGCATCCCTAGGCTTGCATGGACTTCCTTCTCCCCCCGCCCCCCCCCCCCTTTTGTAATGCTTATTCCCTCTCCATCCATGATGGTCCACTCCTTAACTCAGTGTATTCCCAAGTGCAGTGCTGTATTTGCCCCAGGGATGGGTCACCAGGGCCCAGGACTTTGTGTTCTCCTAGTTGAGTGCCTTTCCCAAAAACTAGAGAACTCCTATAGGGAGGGGAAACTGAGGCATGGAGCAGCAGGGCAATTTATCCAAGGTGTCACAAGGTTGGGCACCCCAAGGCCCATCTGTCAGGATCTATAGTTGACTTATTCCCCTGTGGGTGGGTTTTACACCACTCAGATCACTGATATCTAATTATGAGGATAAGCAGGAGAAGGTGACAGCAGTGACCAGCCCAGTGAGTTCCTCCTCAGCCTTAATCTTCCTCATTGTGAAACAGCCTTGGAAAGCTCCTTGCCCAGCCTTGGTTTCACCAGGTGCAGCACCCACACCTCTGCAGGAAACATTTGGGGTGATCTCCTGGGTGTCCCCCTGTCAAGGGATGGAGGCAACACCAGAGGTTTTGCTTATCTGATGGCTCCTGGATGCTCTGGATTGAGATGCTGCTGATCCCAAAAGGGGTTTGGTGTCTGTGCTCTGAATCTTGTGGGCTGAATTCCAGAACCTGGGTACTTTTGGATGGCAGGAATTTTCTGGTCTATCCAAGGCCAGCTATTGGCAGAGGCAGAAATCAGAGCTTTGTTGTTGGCAGCTGGTTCTAGAAAGCCTTTTTTGAGGGAGGTTGGTGACAGCCTTGAACATGTGATGCCTGAAAATCCTTCCCTGCAGCCTTGCTCATGGGAGCTGCTGTCTCTCCACACCCCAGAGGTGTTGAGGGGTTTGGGAGGGCACAGGGGAGTGTGTGGGGTCCTTCCCTGTGAGTTATGGGGGTCAGGGGGTTCCCACACATGTGTTAGGGGGTTAAAGGAGGTTCAGCTCCTCAGCACACAGATTTGCTGGCCAGTGTTGGGTGAGGCTGTCTGGGCACAATCATGCCTGGCCTTGGGGAGAGGAGGAGGACTGTGCCAGAGCAGAGATTAAGGGATGTAACAGAGGACAGGGAGTGAATAAATAAAGAAAAGCCCTGCTCTGCTGGCCTTGACTGAGGGGGAATGCAGCTCTGGGACCCCACCAGTCGTCACCTCCACCATCCCTGAGCTGTGGGGCTGGTCCCTTTCCCATGGGAAAGGTATCAAGATATCCTGCAAGGGGTCTACAGCCTCCCAGCTGGAGCACAGTGCCTTAGGCAGCAAGGAGAACTGCTGCAGCCCCTGAGAAGGAAGCTGGAGAGAGAATATTTGTCCCTGGAGTCACAGGACAAGGAGCAATGAGAATAAATTTAAAGAAGGGAAATTTAGGTTAGATATTAGGAAGAAGCTTTTTCCTACGGGTTGCCCAAGGAGGCTGTGGCTGCCCCAACCCGGGCAGTGTTGACAGCCAGGCTGGATAAAGCCTTGAGCAGCCTGTTCTGGTGGGAGGTGTCCCTGCCCAGGGCAGGGGCTTGGGACTAGATGATCTCTAAGGTCCACTCCAACCCCTTAACGTACCCTGATACTATGAAAAGCCAGAGCCAGAAGGGATATGTGTGTCAAAGAAGCAAAGCAGAGGGGGGACTCATCCTTCCTCGCTGATCTGTTCAGCTTCAGCTGAACAGTATGTGCAGGAGGTCACCCAGTCCCTGCAGAGCTCAGCTTGGAGCCACTCCTGGCTGTTATCTCTCCCTCTTGACCCTGAAGTCATCCTGTGGGGGTGACTTCAGCCCTGATTCCAGAGGGTTGTGTAATCCAGCTCTGGAGCTTTGTCCCACACCACCATCTCTGCTGTGCCATGTACACAGGCATTACCCCAGCACCTTTGCTTTGCCCTTTTTTATGGCTAAAAACCCACACACATGATTTTTCTCCCTCTTTCCAGCATGTTTCCTGGTGTAATCCCAGACTGTGATCCCACTATTTCTCCCAGAATGTATCACATCTGTATGGCACCTATCTCTGTAAGTACCTGCCAAGTCCCCCACGGTGGATTACCTGCCCCAATATCCTATTTCCTGTCCCCCATTTTGGGTCATGCCCTCCCAAACCTCTGGTCTGGGCTGTTCAGCTGGAGCTGGGATGCTCTGGGGAAGGACTCTCCTCTCTCCACACTTTGTTCCATACCTCTGGTCAATGGAAGGCTTTGATTTATGGTTGGACTTGATCTTAGATGTCTTTTCCAACCTAAATGATTCCCTGATTCTATGATTTCCTATTCTTTTTCCCAACACAGTCCCTCTGAGGCGTTTAGAGCCCAGAACTCCCCCAAACAGGTTGAGAAGTGCCTGTCCCTCCTTCAACCATGGTTGGATTCAGGGTGTTGGGTGGAGATGGTGCCTCCCATCATACAGCAGCATATCCCAGACCCCCCTTCCACGTATTTATTACTCCCTCACTTGTTTTTCTGGCAGCTGGCAGTGCTCCTGGGATTGTCCTTGCTGGTGAAGCGCAGGCGTCTCCACCAGAGCTGCTGGAACGGTGTCCCGGGACTGCTCAGGTACCTTGACCCTGGTCGTCAAGGTCCCTGTCAGCCAAGGAGGTGGAGGGATGAGCTGAGCCAGCCTGAGGGGGCCCAGAGTGCCCACAATGTGGCATCAGGCTCATTCCTTCCCTGCAGCCCAGTCAACTTTCTGGAAGAGGAAGGCAACCGAGGGCTGGTGGCTGCAGTGTTCGGCATCCTGTTCTCCTCCCTGTGCGTGCTGGTTCTGGACAGGGATCCTCTGCCATTCATCACTCACTCCTCCCACAGCTCCAGGGGTAAGACCAGCACACTCCTGACCCATGGGAGCCACTCTCCTTTTCACCCAGCGCTGGGTGACACCCTGAGGAGCCTGTTCACTCTGGTCCATACTGAGAGCACTGCCTTCACTTGCCTGTTTTGCTCTCCCTTCCCTCTTCCCATTGTCCCACTATGCAGAGTACTGGAAGATCATGGCTTTGCTGTATTACCCAGCCTTCTACTACCCCCTGATTGCCTGTGCCACTGTCCAGCACAGGCTCAGCTACCTCGTGGGCTGCCTGCTATCCTGGTGCCACTGTGTGGTGCACATCTGGCAGAAGGTGGATTGCCCCCAGTCACCAAAGGTCAGTGTCACACTACCCAGGGAGGATGGTTGAAGGTGGCCCAGGGCTGGAGGTGGTCCAGGACTGAAGGTGACTTTCTCACCAACTCCTTGAAGTGACTGAGATGCCACCTGCCCAGGACTGAGCTGGTAGCATGTGACATCTCTGCTTCTCCCCAGATTTACAGGTACTACTCCATGCTCTCCTACATACCCATCATCCTCTGCCTCATCCTCTTAAGCCTTTGGTATCCAGCACTGCTCATCAGGAGCTTCACTGAGGAAGAGAAGACCTTGGATAAGGAGGTAATGAAGGTCCATGAGGAGACTCAGAGACCCCTTGATGGATCCACATAGTTTTGAGGGTTCTCCTGCCCCTCTTCCTTGAGGATTGGGAGATCTTGGGTGCTCCCAGTGCTCATGTTCCCCACTTTTCTCCAGCACCAGAATCTGCCTCTGAGGTGGCTCTGTTTATACCCCTGGATTTGAAGAGGGACTGAAAAATTCATCTTTGGAGTAAACTCCTTAGTACAAGAGGCTTAAGGCATCAATGCATCCTGTTCAGGCTGGGACTGGGGTTGCCTTGTTTTCTCAGTAGGCTGGATAATCCCAGCCCTTTGAGAAATGCCGGGGCTTTGTTGGGAAAAGAGGAGGAAAAACCTACTTCAAATGAAAACAAAAGCCCAAGCATGTACTGAAGTGACCCCAGGCACTTGCTGGGAGCTAGAAGGAGGAATTTCAGCTGTTCTACTGGGTTTGGGCTGCTTTGGTGGTGGGAACACAGCAGGTTTATTTCTACCTTTGGCATGCCTGGTTTGCTGCCAACATTTCTCCAGCACATTTCTTGTACAAACAAGGGCTGGAGAGCCATCACCTGCATCCTCTGTGGAGATGCCAGTGATGGGTGGGTGGCCAGAGGTAGCAGGGCTAGGAGATGGGTGCTGGGTGGGATGTAGATGCTCTGACTCCCCAAAATCAGAGCCCCTGTGCTGATATCAGGCAACTTACCCATTTTCCTTAAGGTTTCAGGGAGAGGCTATTACAAGAAGTACCTAAAGGCTGTCCTGTCTAAGCGCCCTCAGAAGGGGAGGTAAGGATGGCATAGCACTACCTGCTCAGTGAGTATCTCTGCCAGCCCTGCAATGGGCCAGCAAGGCTCCCTGTCCCAAGGGATGTGTGCTCTTCACCCTCTCCTTCCTCCTTCAGCTCCACGAAGATAGAGGAGAGCCTCCTCTCCAGGGTCCAGACCTATTTATGCTCCTACATCTACACTCCTGAGGAAGGTGGGCCGTGGGCTGTGCTCCTGGCTGTAGCAGCAGCTTGGCAAACAGGCTGCTTTCCCCCTCTCTCCCCCCAGGGACAGCAAATGCCTTTCTTGGCTCCTGCCTCAAAGCATCTGTGCCGTGGCAGCTGCCACGCGCTGCATGTGCAACACCTCAGCTCTGTGAGAGCTGTGCTGGTTTGGGGTGGGGAGATGGACCCTCCAACCCCTGTGGGGATGTGGGTGGGCTGAGGCACTGAAGTTCAGGCTTGGGATGTGCTAATTTCATAAAATCATGGAATCATAGAGTGGTTTGGGTTCAAAGGGATCTTATAGATCATCCGATCCACACCCAGCCGCGGGCAGGGACACCTTCCACTAGCCCAGGTTGCTCCAAGCCCCATCCAACCTGGCCTGGAACACTTTCAGGGATGGGGCAGCCACAGCTGCTCTGGGCAAACCTGTGCCAGTGCCTCAGCACTCTCTCATGGAAGAGTGCAGGCAGCCTGGTGCTTGAGAAGTCTGATAAGGGAATAAAATCCACAACAAGTGGATAAAGTCCCTAACAGGAACAGAGAACTACTCCTTGCCCCTCTGCCCATGGAAGAAGAAGCAGGGAGTATCCTGGGAGATGGCACCCTATTCCAGTGCTCTCTCCAGGTGTTTGCTTTGGCTGCTGGGTTGGGTGGACACCCTTGATCCCACACCCCAGCTCCTCTCCAATCCACCCCTCCAATTCTGCCTTCCAGGTTTCCGGATCCCGCTGAAGCTTGTTGTGTCCATAGCCATGGCTGTGATCGCTGTCTACCAGGTGATGCTGAAGGTTAAACACCACCCAGAGCCCACTCCATGCCTCTTGGCTGTGTCATAGAACCATCAAGGTTGGAGGAGACCTCAGAGATCATTGAGTCCAACCATTAACCTGTCACTGCTGGAACCACACATCCATATCTTCCAGCACCAGATCCAGGCACCTCTTAAACATCTCCAGGGATGGTGACTCCACCACCTCCCTGGGCAATATTTCAGTGTCTGAACACCCTAACAGGGAAAACATTTTTCCTAACACCCAATCTGAATCTTTCCTCTCGAGGCAGAGGAGCTCAGAGGTGTGAGAGACAAGAGGTCATTGCCATGCCACAAGTTTGGTTACAGGGATGGTATTAACGTGCCTCAAGGAATTACCATCCCTTGGCTGAGCCACCACAGCCACCCATGTGCTTCCAGGGCTCAGCCAGCCTTAATCTTTGAGCTAAAGCAATGGCTTGGCAGTGGGATACCGTGAGCTGGGGCTCACGTGGCACTGCTCCTTCACAGGTCGCCCTGCTGCTCCTGGTGGCCTTCGTTCCCACCATCCAGATCGTGCGGGCAGGAATGACCAAGGACATTGTGATGTTGCTGGTGCAGTTTGGCCTGGTGCCCTCAGACAACCCTACTGTCCCTGGGGACATGGAGAAGGAGCTCAGCACTGTCAAGCACTACCTGTGGTCGCTGGAAGGTGGGTTCCCAACTGGCTCCTGCATCCAGAGGGGATTTTTGGAGGATTTCAGGAGTTCTCTGAGAGATTTCGAACCCAGAGAGGATGGTCAGTGATGAGGCAGCTCCCAGGGGAACTTCAAAACAGCTGTCAAAGGCACAGACATGAAAGGCAGCAGCAGAGCCTGGTGCTGTGCCAGGCAGCTCGGAGCAGCCCCCGCGTGCCAAGGCGGGAAGAGCCGTCGGGAAGAACCAGCAGGAGGAGCCGCAGATGCTGCCCCGCGGCTCAGGGCTTTGATATGTGCTGGAATCGAGCAGATGGCTCCCCGGCCCCTGGAGAATTGAAAGCCTTTGCTGGGGAGATGAGGGAATAGCAGGGATGCTCCCCCTCCCTCCACAGCACTGCCTTGGGGTGCTGCCAGCCCTGGGGGGCTTTTTATGGCTTTTCCTGCATCACCAAGCCTCTCTCATCCTGGATTTGCCCCTGACATCTCCAGCCCTCCTACCAAACCTCTCTCCCCCTCTTCCTTTTCCCCCAGAACCCCTTTTTCTGAAGGCACCTTCCCAGGCTTTCTGCATTGCACCATTGTGGCTTGCTTCATGATTTTTCTAGCCCTGGGCTAGCCTAACTGCTTGGATTTCCCTTGGCTGTTTGTCTTTCCCCTTCCCTTTCACTGCCCCATCAGTTCACCCCTGGGAGATGGAGATCCATGGATCATACAGGAGGGAGGAAGAGAGGGAAACCGAGGCACGGTGCTATGCATAGCTCAGCCCCCTTGCAATGCTCCTGAGGTATATTTTCCAATAAAATCCCATTCCTGGGGTTGGCCACAGCTCTGATCCAGCCATCTCCTCCTGCTCCTCCACAGTCTGCTACATTTGCTCACTGGTGCTGTGCTGCCTGCTGACCTGTGCCATGCTCCTGAGGACACTGGTGATGCACAGGTAATGATGGTGTCCCCACTCTGCTGGCCTTGGCATTGTCCCTGAGCCAGACTGCAGCTGGTGTCTCTCCCCAGGATCAACCTGAAGGCTCTCTACCAAGGTGCTGTGCTGGATGTGTTCTACAAAGCTCATATCCTCCGCCCATCCCGACAAGCCATCGTCTGCTGGATGAGCTTTGCCAGCTTCCAGACAGCTTTTGCCTGCTTGGGTAAAGGGTTTGGGGGGCAAGAGGGGGTGGATGGGTGGTGCACCTCCACCTTGTACAGCCTACCCTGGGGTTAAGCATCTCTTCCATCCTTCTTGCCCCATTTTGGGGAAGGAGGTTTGGCTGGGAGGCTTTTGTTCCCCTTTCTCCCAGTGCATTCTGTCCTTCTACAAGAAGGACCATCCTGAACACCAAATGGTTGGGAATTAAAAAAGAGGGGAGGGGTGGGATGATGACTTGCTCTGGCTCAAGCCCAAATAGCTTGTTTTGAGAAGCTGTCACAGCATCTCGTGCAAAGGACTGTCTGTCTTCTCTGCTCCTGGTGCTCCTCACTGTGCATCTTTCCCCATCACAGCCTGTATCTCCCTGCCTGGGAGGATTTTCCACCCCAGGGATGGGTGGAGGACTTCAAATAAGGTGTAAATCTTCACTCCACCATGGTTTGGAGATGTATTAAGGCCTCTCTGCTCCATGGGAGGTGACTCAGGCCAGTGTCTGTGATGATGTATCCTCAACCACCCAACTGTATCAGCACACTAAGGCCATGCAGGGGGAGTCAAGTTGAGGGTCCAGGAGGGTGATGGAAGGACAGGAGGGACCACCAGGTCTGTACTGACCATCCTGTGGGAAAACAGACCTGTTTTGCAGGCAGATTGCAGAGATTAGCATGGAGATAGGAGCTGTGGAACCCCCCAGAAGCTCCTTGTACCCCTTTTGCCAGAGAGGAACAGCTTTCCTTGGGCCACCCAGTTCTTGGTGCTTCCGTAACAGAGCTGGGACTCACCTCTTGCTTAAATTTTGAATTTCAAGTGATTAAAGCAAATCAGGGGCAGTGAAGCACCAGGTTGAGCACAGGGAACCACAGCCACTGCTGCTCTCAGGGTGATTTATGACTAGAAATCAGAGCTCAGGCTGGTTTTTTTCTGATGAGGAATCCTAGTTGCAGCCCTGAGTGATGACTCTGCTCAGTGGGGATAATGTGGGGAGTGATAAGAAAGACTCAACTTGTCATTAAATCCTGTGTAGAGCATTGTGGTTGCTGTGGGGGAGGCAGGTATGGATCTCACAGGCTTTTTATGGGATTAAAACAAGCACAGGGTTGGGAATAAGAACAAGAACCACTTCTCCATCCTCTCCTGCCATGGTTTCTCTGCCTGTGTCTCCCTCCCAGGTCTTCTCATCCAGCAAGTGATTTTCTTCATCTGCTCAGTGGCGTTTGCCTTCCTTGTGGTCATCCCTCTGCAGTCTGGCACCAGCACACCCCTTTTCAAGATCATCCAGAACATGTGGTGAGCACTCACAGCCCTCAGGGAAGGATGGAAGCCCCAAGTGGGTGCCATGCTCATGGCCATGGTGTGTTTTGGGGCTTGTCTATCTGGGGCTCTTCCAACATTGCTGGAGGTTTCTGCTGCCTGGGATGGTGTCTCATGCTTGGGATTCTCCTGGTGTCCAACCTGCCTCTTCCCTCCTGCCCAGGCCCTTCTGGTTGACCCTGGTTGTTGCTGTCATTGTGCAAAATCTGGCAGCCAACTACCAATTCCTGGAGCAGCATCCCCTCAGGAAGGAGCTCACCAACAGGTATGGGGACCTGAGGAGTCTTTGGGGGCAGAGCTTGACCCTCCTGAGGTCTGGGAATCTGGAATTGTGTTGGGTTGGCACGGTCTTTGGGGCAGAGCTTGACCCTCCTGAGGCCCAGGAATCTGGAATTGTGTTGGGTTGGCACATGCCCCTGATGTGGTGTCCACTGTGCCATGACCTCAAGTGAATCTGAAGCATTGAAGTGCCTCAGTGCTCCCAGAGAAGTTTCTTGAGATGCTTTAGAGGGCCATGGTCCATTTACCTCCTTGATTGTGGTGGGGTGAGACTGGTGAGGTCTGTGCCCTGCTCCACCACCCCATTTGCAAGCCTCAGAGGGAGCCCAAATCCCTCAGGATTTGCTGGTCTGGCTCAGTCACTGCCAGCAGATGTTGTCCCTCACTCACACATGGTGTCACTGCCTGGGCTGTCACCTTATGCTGAAGACCAGGGTGACAGATGGATCTTGGTGTCCTTCTCTGTCCACCCAAGGCACTTCCACCACCTCCATCACTCACCCAGCACAGCAGGGAGGCTGCTGTAGGCTCTTCTGGCTCCTCAGAAGCTGGTGTCCTCCATCCCAAAGCACCAGACTTATGCTTTGTCTGGTTTCTAAGGCTTTGAGGAGAAATGAAGACCCTGTGTGTGCTGGAGGCCAAGCTCCAAGGTCCTGCCAGTGCTCTGAGAGCCTGGAAGGGTGTTTGTTTCTCTCCATGGGATGGAGACACCTCAAATGGAGACTGTGTCTGCTGAGGAGGGAGGGAAGGGTGGGAGGCTTGTTTTGGCAGGAGGTTTCTCTGGCAGGAAAGGGCTGTGCTTCCTATCCTGTGGTGTTTGTGTTCCTTACTCCTCCTCTGCCTGCAGGCGAGCTCTCTACATCGTCACCTACCTGCTCTTCCCCATCAATGTCCTGGTGGGTGTCCTGGCTGGGATGTGGAGATTGGTCATTTCTGGCCTTTACAACTCCATCCACTTCTGCCAGCTGGACATCAGCC